AATAAAAACTTACTTAATTTATAATAAAAGCTTTTATATATTCCTATTTAAATATATAGAATGCGGAGCTATAGAGCTTTTATAAATTTAAAGTTATTATAGATTATAAAGAGTTAAAGTATTTTATATAAAAATAAAAGCTAACTAAGTATTAGAGCCGTTAAGTAAAATAACTTTTATAATATTATTTTAAAATTAAGTACTACTTAGGCCGTTTATTAACTATCCTAAATACGCTTTTTAAACGTAAATAAAACGCTTAACCGGTTAAAAAAAAAAAAAAAAGGAAAGATTATTTAAATAATTCCTAACTTTACTTAGTTAATAATTAGTAATTTATTAAATTAAAATTATAAAAGTACCCGAGCTATTTAAAAGATATTTTTATAAAAAATAGAGCTTTAATAATAATAAAATAAAATAAAATAAAGGATAAATAATATTTTAAAATATATAAAGTAGTATTAAATAGAGCTAGGGCGCTCCCCTTTAAATTAGCTTTAATTATAAATTATAAAATATAATATTAATATACTTTTAAAACTAATTTAATAAAAGAATTATAGGTCCTAAATATAAAGACTTAGATTATAAGATAATACACTCTAAATAAAAATAATTTAGTACTATTATAGATTTTAATAACGAACTACCTTAATAGAAACGCTACCGTAGCTATCCTATTTAAATAGTTCTATTAATTAGGCTAGTTTAGCGTAATAAAAAGGTTTATTTAAAACTATAATATTTATAAAAGAGTACTATATAATAATAAGCTAAACGTAGCCTTTTATAGCCTCTCGTAGTATTAAAATAAATAAAAAGCGACCTAGTAATAGACTTTATTATTAACTTCCCTTTATTATTAAAAAGCGGCGCCCGGTTTTTATAAATAATAATTAACTACCTCGTAAAGTCTATTACTTTTAAACTAATAATATCTATAGAAATAAAGGCCTACGTAGACCGCTTTATTAACTATTACTTTTAATTTTATAAAATACCTCGGTTTATTATAAATAATCGTAATAGTAATTAAATTAATAAGTTCTAGTACCGATTTTATATAAAAGTAAAAATAAAGTAGTACTTAAATACCGCTTTTTATTTATAAACCGACGGGTTAACTAAATAATTTAATTAAAAGATTAAAATAATTTTATAATATATAATCGTATATATTTAAAATAACTAAAAGGACTAGCTATTAACTACTTAATTAAACTTTAATAACTAAATAGCTTTAATAATAGAGCTCTTACTTTTTTTTATAAAATATAAATATAACGTCGAGCCCCTAAGGATTTAAAAAAGCGTATTAAAAATAGTAAATAAATAAAAAATAAAAGCCGATTTTATAATATAAAAATTTATAAAAATAACGAAGTTCGCCTAGGCTATTATAGCCGCTTTATAAGAACGGATAGAGCGCTTAGTTAATAAATAAAGAGTATTAATAGAGCGCTTCGAAATTAATAATAAAGTATAGTTATATATAAATAATTATAAGTCCCCTAGATTTAATAAAAAGTTAAATTAATTATATTATAAATATAAAATAGTCGAAGTTACGAAACCTACCGTTATATAGCTTAACGTATTTAGTAATATTTACTTTTATTTCTATATTAATATATTACGGTATATAACGAACGACCTTTTACTAGGCTAATAGTAAATAAATAAAAGGCCCCCTCTAATTAAAAAAAATAACGGGGACTATTAATTAATTAAAAAAGTATTTATAATATAATAAAAGCGTATAAGTTATAAATAGTAAAAAGAAGTCTTTATTAAATAAAAAAGCTATTAAGAGCTAATATAAAAACCCCTATTTTTACTCCGTTTAATAGACGCCCTAAAAAAGTTCGAACTATATTATAGGCCCGTTAAAAAGTTTAATAATAACCCGAATTACTAAAATAAAATTAAAAAATATTAAAAGCCTATAATAATTATATAAATTATAATAATAATAAAAAAACGGGTATTAAATAAAAAATAAAAAAGTAATTAAATTAAGGCCCGTAAGTTAAAAGATTATTTAGTCCCGCAAAGTATAATATAAAATTAATAATAATATTATAAACGTAAAAAGGGGCCGTTTAAAGTTTAAAAACCGAGGGCCGGCTATCTTTTTTAATTTAAATAAAAGGAGGTTAATAACGAGCCGCGGCTTAAAAACGGATTAATTATAAAAAAAGAGAGTATAAAAAAAGTATTTATAATAATATAAAAAGAAATAAGGGCTTAATAATACTCGTTAATAATACGGGCCTCTTTTATAATAAAAAAGGCTATACCCTTAGCGATAAGGGTAGTAATAAGGGCGGTAGCGGGGGTTATATAGGGGGCGGGCGTTTTAATAACGAGGGAAGTGGTTATAGCGCGGGTATTATAGCGGGCGCGGGCCTTTTTATTTTTAACTTTAGTCTAGGTAATAGCGGCAATATATAAATAGCTAAAGGTATTTATAAAGTCCTTATATTAATAATAAAAAAAAAACGGTTAATAATATATAAATAACGAATATTAAATAAATATATAACGGCCTTAAAAGCGGGGTCGCCCGTAATAGGGGTTAATAACTAGTAATACTCTTCGACTACTTAAAAGAACTTTATTTAAATAGCTTTAATAATATCGTTAAGCTAAAAATAATAAGTTAGTAATTATAAAGTAAATAAAAAATAATAGCGGTAAATATATAAAGTTATAATAGTAGTTAGCTTTATTATTAATATAAGTAGTATAGCGAATAATACCTTTAGCTTTATAATAAATTAATAATTTATAAACAGGTAAATAATAGCAGCTTAGTATATAAAAGTAATTATAATAACTAACGCTAGCTAGGGTATCGCTATTTTTAATTAGTACCTATATATAAAAGAAATAGGGGACCTTATATAGGGTGCCCGGTATAGGAGCCTTTTTAAATTTATACTCTTTTTTTTTTTCCTTTTTTTTCTTTTTTCTTTTACCTTTTTTATTAAATATTAACTAAATATAAAGTTAACGGATTTTATAAATAAAAAACGGATATACTACGTAGGTTTAATATATTATTTAAACGTTTAACTCGTTTTTAAAAAAATAATTAGATAATAGTCCGGAGTTAAAACTAAACTTTAACTCTTTATTATTTATACTACCTTTATTATTAAATAAAGTAATAGGCTTAATAAGCGTAATAGTAGTAGCGGGCTAGTTAATAAAAACGAACTATTAAAATATTAATAACGGATAAAAAGCTAAAAAGTTATAGAATAATAACATATAAAAAATATAGTAGTAATAGTATATAAAATATTTATTTAATTATTTTTTAAATTAAAAAAGGGTTTTTAAATATATATAAGCGCGCGAGTATAAAAAAAAGATTATATATATAAAAAACGATAGCGGGGACGGCGGGCTTATTAAAAATTAAATTTTTATAATAAATTAATAAAATTTAAATAATAGAAGCGTAGAAATAAATAGATTAGAGTATTTATAAATCGTTATATAAAGGTTAAAAAGAGGAAGCTTTTTATAAAAGGGGGGGGCTTAATAAAAATTAATAAAAAGGACTATAAGTAGTTAATTAATAAATTAAAATAAAGTAGTTAATTACCCGGGGTATTTATAATTAAAAAACGGATTAATAATAGATTTATTTTAAAAATAAAGTAAAAGGGTACATATTATAAACTAGATTTAATTAATAAATCTAAGCCTTAGCCTAGATATTACTGCGGCTTATTACGCTATTTTTATAGAGGTTTTATTTAAACGCTTTTCTTTTATAGAACCTCTATAGAACCTCCGCTCTAAAAACCTCTACTCTTTAGCTTAGATTCTATATATTAAAATCCCCTTAACGTAGACTTACGTAGGCTAGACTCTTAATACCTAGAGGCATTTGCAATTCGAGTAGCTTATGTCGCCTCAAACACATCGAGATACCGTGTCAAACGAGAAATCGGCGATGATTACAAGACCCACATACACCCAGGTCCAATAGCCGGAATCTCTCTAGTAGCCATAGTATTCGTCTTCCTCATACTTGTCCTCTGGGGCAGGCAGAGAGCCAGGGCTAGAGAGGAAGCCACTATGTATAGGTACAACGATTATGTTAGCAATGTCGTGGCTCTCGAGGACCAGCAGAGAGACATCAGAGCTGGAGGCTATGCCTATGGTCGAGGTTATTTTCCAGGGCCACAATATAGCGCAGGCGAAGATGACGGCAGTCGGCGTCCTCGACGCCTGACGAAGCCGCTCCCACCGGTCCCCGGCAAAGTTGGCGGATCCCAACAGCAGTCATGAAACTGATGGGTTCAAGACATTACCACGAAGAACCGGTTGGCGTAGCCTTCATTTTCTGCATGGCATTGGCGTTTTCGAGATTCTCTCTTATCTATGGAAACAAAGTCTCAATTTTTACGTTAACGCAAATCAATCAAGTAAACATACTCAGCGAGAAGCTTTACATTGTATTTGAAGCCTAATATGCAAGATCCTATGCACTGTCTCTGCGCGTGCGAACTCTATGTATGTAATGACTTACACTGTGTCCCTTTGCTTCTTTGTCATTGCATCATTTTCTGCTCAGCAGCAGAAATCAGATAACTCCTTTACTCAGAATATCCGCTTGAAGCCGCGCGGGCGCGAATCTTCGGGGTTGTTGGAGACAAAGGAATGCTACTGGGCTATCATACCACAATCCCCCCGGGGAGCGATGTGGAGTCAACGATTATCTTCGTCGGCAATTCTGACCAGTCATTAACAACCTCTTGTTTGGAGTTTAGATTGAAATCCGACGACAATCTGGGCGCAACATGTCGCAATCATGTTCCATCATCCATACGTATGAGAAGGAACCAAGGCCACCAAGGCACAGAGCATTTCTGTGCTGGGGAGATCTGAGCTTCTATTTAAAGATGGCCTTTCCTCTGCATTTCCAAGTTGTGAGCCCTGACCTGTTCAACAAACGGCTGAGAGCATCATTTTATCTCCTTTCTACCAAGCCAATATGAACATTCGCATCAATCCTTTTATATCTCAATTCGTCCCTAACATGGTCACCCTTGCCCCAGAGATTGCTGATGCGATGGAGAAGGCCATCAGCAATGCCAAAACTTTGTTGAGAGACGTCGACTTAGATGTGGGTAGTCACAATGACCGCCGTTTGTGTCCCGCCAAGGGACGTCAGCACAAAGTTGATCGTAAATGTTTACATCCTAGCTGACTCTAGCTTTGGCATTGTAGATCTTTCACCATCCTGAACTCAATTACGAGGAATTCTACGCGCACGATGCTCTCGTCGAAGTGCTGAAGAAGCTTGGCTTCAAAGTCACCCCTCGCGCATACGGCATTCCTACATCTCTGGAGGCAGAATACGGGGAAGGCGGCCGTCTCGTCGTCTTCAACGCCGAGTACGACGCACTCCCTGAGATCGGCCACGCCTGCGGCCACAATCTCATCGCAACCGCATCTCTGGCGGGTTTCATCGCTACAGTCGCCGCTCTGAAGGCGTCCGGCCAACCTGGACGTGTGAAACTTCTAGGTACTCCGGCCGAGGAAGGTGGTTGCGGAAAGGGAATGTTAGTCGGCAAAGGAGCATATGACGGTGTCGCGGCCTGCGTGATGGCCCACCCAGCTCCATTGTTCACCTACGGCAACGAGGGGAGACACGGTGACGTGTTTGTCAATCATGTTTCCGCCACCAGCTTCAGAATTAAGTTCAAGGGCAAGGCTGCACACGCTGCTGCCTCGCCTTGGGAGGGCGTGAATGCCCTCGACGCTGCTGTCCTCGGCTACAACGGCGTCAGCATGATGAGGCAGCAGATGACAAAGGACTCCACCGTCCACGGCATTTTCACTGATGCCGGCGTCAAGAGCAACATCATTCCCGACTTTGCAGCTGTTGACTACACCGTGCGTGCGCCGACCATTGAGAAAACCAAGGAGCTGCGAGACCGCGTCGTTGCAAATTACCGCGCTGGCGCCATTGCCACAGGCTGCGAGATGCAGGTCGACTATGATGTATTCTATGCGCCCTTGCGCCCGAACAAGCAGCTTTCTCTGGTGTTTGCCGAGGCTGCGGCAGATTTGGGCATCCCCATGTGGTGCGACGTGGACACGAAGGAGGTCATCTCTGGGGCCACCGACCAAGGGAATGTTGGCTGTGTTGTTCCTGTCATCCATCCCATTTACGGGATTGAGGCTAAGGAAGGCCAGAGTAATCACACTGCCGGCTTCACGGAAGCTGCCGGAGCCGAATCAGCACACGAACGAACTCTTATCATTGCCAAGGCTTTAGCAAGGTCCGCATGGGCTGTCTTGACCGACGATGAGATTGCATTCAAGGTTCAACGCGAGTTCCAAGAGAGTGTGACGAAGAGGAGGCTGAAGATTTCCCTCGAGGAGGAGATATCTCTTATCACGAAGGACTCCTCTCAAATCAGCACACCTGTCAAGAAACTATGCTCTTGTGGCAACGGAGTTTGAGCCATAGTTGTTTGATGGCTAGGCCAGCAAATCGAGACTCCGTTCTCTGCCTTCCTTGATTAACATAGCATAGCTGCTATTACCAAGCTTTTGTAGCAACCAATCCCGATGAATTGCGTCGTCTGTTTGTCTCGCCATGATGAAGACTGCCCATTGGTTCCGCCACATGAACGGTCTATCTGCCTTCTGTGTAACCATCCGGAAAATCACCCGGAGGAGATCGTCTTTGGCGGCGGCAAGATCTCGTTGAATCGATTCGGATGACGAAGCAGAAGCCATAGCAACTAGGACACTAACGAGGACAGCATGGAAATGGGACACGATGCTGTAGGATCCTGTGATCAACTTTGCATCGGCTGGATTGGGGGCTTCTGCCAAGCGGAATATGGCCGAATATTCCTTTTCAACCCCCCGGAAGTCAGCTGTTGTTATTGGCCAGGCCAACATGGGGTCTGCAAGATGTAAAGTGATATAGGAAAGACTATTTTCTTACCTCTCGTAGACGATGTAGCATGGTCACTATGCCATTCAGCTGGTCTTCGTCAGTACCAGATGCTTGCACTCGATGCAATCGATCGAGACAAATGTTTGCGAAAAAGTGAAGCTCCAGGGGCTTCGATCGCTCTACATCATCCGTCAACTCTTCGCAGGGATACAACGACCCGAAGTAATCAGCATGGACATTCCGAGAACAGGCAAACAGGGAGCGCGATGTGTCATCGCCGGAAAGTATCAGACGAGAAATATCGCCTCCAATGCCGCAAGATTCAGAGTCCAGGTCCTCGTACGCTATGAAGAGCAGCAGACTCGCGACGAGACTTTTGTTCGGGAGTATTGGCAAATGAAAAGACAGCAAGTCGACGCTGGACTCCGTTCCAGGAGACGTACCGCCAGAAAGATCCCAAGGGGTTCTCTCCCCGGAATCCAAGAGGTTCAGAAAATGATGCTTGCGGACGTAGTCTGCTACGGCAGAGCTCAGCTTCTTCATAGCCCGACGACATTTATCGTCCCAGATCGCACGGTACGTGAGTTGCAACAGCCAAAAGGCCATCAAAGTCTTTGCATGATCACATATCGGCTCTTGCATTCCGTCGACAAATCTGTTGGTTCCCATTGTGAAATGAGACTTGGCCGTGGTCAACACCGTACGGTCCGGGTGATTCCGGGCAACGGTACTAAGGCATGAAGCCAGCAGCAAGTGCATGACCGTGGCGTCATCGTAGGCATGATGAAGCAGGATGGCCAGCTTTGACCACAAGAAGGTCTTGGGACTACACTTTGAGAAGACGTTCTCGAAGAAATAGAGAGCGTCCTGCTCCAAGGGGCCAAAAAGAATCGAGCACCGGGATGGTATGTGTCGAGTGCTCAGTAGTGCTTGAGGTGACGCCGCTGTGTTCTGATTAAATATGACATCCAAGGCCATGCGTTCGTCAAAGTGCGCTGTGTGGTTTAAGACCGGATCAGTCGTAGTCGTCGAATTGTTTTCTTTCACTGGCATCGTTGAGGGACTCCCTCCCCAATCAAGGGGACTTTCGCCCCTAACTACCATATCCTGAACAGTGTTTTTGGAAATGCCCTTCGACGGTAAGATTGGAGGAAGCACGTACTGAAGGCGAGATTTGACAGGGCCAAACCCACGCCTTCGCTCTTGAAGGGGAACATGGTCTCCGCGCCACTGACAGTGTCGCTGTAGGCGACTACATCGCTGGCATGTAGGCCGATCCTCTGAGCACTTGACCTTCGATCGCGCGCAGGTAACGCATCCCCTTGTCGATCGACTTCGCCGGCGGGATTCCATTGTCGTTTTGTCAAGCATGGCCGGCGATGATGCCTGTGAAGCACGTTGCTCAAACGGTTGCGCAGCTGTCGGCGCGAAACCATGGAGAATGGGAATTCAAATGGAACACTGTGAGGGGTGACATGGTGATCACTGGCGAAAGAGCGGCCTATATTGGACGAAGAGCAGTAGAGCACGATTGTTGGCAGAAGTTATTGATAAGAGATCCAGAAGTATTGCATCATCCCGGAGTTAACGACTTGCTGTCGCTGACGCGCCTGATCCCTGAACCGTGCATAAGACTATCTCAACTCTGGGGTATCACCCGGTTGTCAGAAAAAGCGGCACATATACAAGCACCTCGGAGCATTAGCACAGCAAAATCAGGTTTAAAATAGTAAATTAAAATGTTTTAAAAATATTTCATATATCAAGAGTTAACAAAGACCCTTTAGTCATCATTATAGAGTATATAAGCTAAAGTTAAATTAGAAGAGAATTTATGAATTTGGCTAGAAAAAGTAGATAGTTACCGAAGTGTGCCATTTATTCTGACAACCGCGTGGGTACCAACTTAGCCTGAGTGGAGAGCTGCGGTCCGAATTGGCCACTAAGAATCTTCGGACCGAGAGTTAATCGAACGAACAATAACAGTTCAACGTGATAATAGCCCACCTAGGTATTAAGATACTTATCATATGTAGAGATTGTCAACTTTCAGACGACCTTACCTCAGAGAATTGTGATAACTGAGAGCTTTCTCCAGAGAAATACGAACCAAGTCTCAAATCTTAGACCACACAGTTGTCGTATGTGAGGCAGCTAAAGCGGAACCCACCCAACAGAAGCAATAACCCGTTGGGTTGTGTTATGATGGATGAATCACCTTCACGTGGAGAGGCGCATCGACGAAGATCCCCCGAAGGGCAGGGGCGGCCGAAGAGCATCCAAACCACGACTAAGAAACGCCGATGGTGGTCGTCTGGAAACCTACAGTATATACCACTAGATGACTCAGACGAAAAAGGGGATACAGGAGATGCATGGGCGCAAGAGTCAAGAAGAAGCAAAGTCTCCCTTTGGAGATGGCGTTGTACCACAGCACTGCTCCTACTAGCCTTGCTCCTGTCCTGGCTCCCGCTCTCAGCCCCAAACCCAAGTCGACAAGACTACCCCCAACCAGAAGAAGGCGAAGACAACGTCCTGCAATGGATGAAAGAAGCCGAAGTCGCCCAAGGGCACTTCTGGTGCGGCAACTCGACACTCGAAGCCAAACGCAGAGGCTGCGCCTTCAACAAGCTGCACAACAGATGGATGCCGCCAGCCTGCACGCAAGATTTCGAGCACGCCAGGCAGGCCGTCTTTGAAGCCCTGGGTGGCAACGATGAGGAGCCGACCTTTCATTTCTACAGGGACGATGACGGGAAGCCGGGGGCGGAGATTTCCGACGACGAGCTGAATGAGTTTGAGATCTTGACGCCGGCTTGGACGACGGTTGGGCACCACATGACGCATTGCATGTATCTCTTGCTGCAGGCTGCTGCGGCGCTGAATTTGGGGACAAAGGCGGATATGGTTGTACATGCGTGGGAACATGCGAAGCATTGTGCCATGGTTGTGCTGAATGAGACGAAGAAGGCGCCGGCTTGGAATGATGTTAAGAGTTTCGGGCATACACAGTCTGGTGTCTGTTGGTGAATATCTTACCTAAGGTAGGCAGGTAGTCAATGTGATAGATGCTCGAGAATATTCTCATCTTCCATGAAATACGGTCAGGCTGGGTGAAGAGGCGAGTGCATACCTTCCTGAACTTGCCTTGAGAAGGCCATATAGGTCCCTTCAATCCCATTCCCGTCACCAGCCAGCAGGCGCCCTTCTAGGTCGATGGGTCAGGTCAAACTGGCTGGATGGTGGAGTGGTTCATGGTCAACAATCAATTATACACCAACCAGCCTACTCGACGACAGGCTTAACGAGTGCCCGAGTTCGAATCCCAGTATGAGCACCAAGAGATGTAGCCCCCAATTCAGCACCGGGGGGGGGGGGGGGGTGAACTCTTTTTGCTTATTGACTTAGATAAGCCCCATGCTTTATCTGTGCATCGTACTTTAGGTATGGATAGACCAGTAGCCTCTAGTATCAAGCTGACTTCGTCTCTGGGAAGGCCGCAGCCGTGTAGGGTAGACTTCAGTTGCCAATGCTAATTATTTAAGGCAACTGTTTGCATAAACCATCAATGAAGTACACATAGTATGTATTCAAACAGCACTTTAAGGTTTCAAGCTCAATACTTCTTGGATGGTAATTACTCGCCCATCCATTTCCAAGATATCCAAGGTAGGCCTAGTAAGCCTTTGATGAGCGCCGTCTCTTGGCGCAAGCCCCGGGTACAGGCAACGACTTGCGCGAAAAGCAACTCTCCCCAACACAATCCAAATCAAAGAACCTGATAACCTCATCCGCCTGATCCGGAATATTATGATCAATCCCATGAGCCAAAAACGCCTCAAATAGCCCCTTCGTCCCATATACACTCTTCGTCCACCCTGCAACGGGATCATCTTCCACAACCTCCGTCGGCGTGGCCCCCGTCCCCAGTACCGTAGTCCACATCTTGATCTCCTCGTAGAAATTCGTCACATTCAGCACATTATCCACGTCCCCATGCAGAACCTGCAGCTTCGGCCTCGGCCCGACGTACCCCGGATACGCAGCCTCGACAATAGCAGCCCACTCCTCCCCGGTGTGCGTGATCCGTCCGCTCGCGCAGTCGTCAGACCACACAGCGAACCCATCCGCAGCATAACACCCAAACGGCACGCCCGCGAACGCCGAACCCGCCGCAAAGACGTCGGGGTACGCCCCGACGAGGACGTTTGTCATCATGGCGCCGGAACTCACGCCCGTAACGAAGACGCGGTCTGGATCAACATCGTAGTTTTGGAGGGTCCAGCGGACCATGTTTACGATACCTAGAGAATCGCCGCCGGCGTCGTGGGAGAGCGTCTGCGGCGAGGAGACGTCCCAGCAGTAGTCTGCGGTGTGGGGCGTGGAGGGGTATATCGTGACGAAGCCGAGGGTGTCTGCCAAGGGGCGCCAGGGCTTGTAGTTGAAGGCGTCTGTCGCGTTACCGTGGCACCAGTGGGGGAAGACGAGGAGTGGCGCGTTGGGGATGAGGGAGTCGGGAACGTAGAGGTAGAAGGAGACGTTCGTGGGGTTGGGGCCGAAGTCGGTTGTGATGTGTTGGAGGGAGGCGGCGGTTGTGAGGGTTGGGAGGAGGGCTGTTGCCCAGGCTAGATTGGGGCGCATTGTCGAGGTCGTGGCTTGGGGAGAGGTTGTCTTGAACGAATGCGATTTGGGGAAAGATGCCAAGAGAACGAGCAGGTATTGTTCCTGAAGTGGGATCAGAGCTGCTTCTTATGTGCTTTTTAGAGGAGCTACCGGGCCACCCCCGCGATACCGGGCATACGGGTAGAGGAAGAGGTAGCATATGATGTCCCTTCGTGGTGCTGCATTTTCACTGGTTCAATTGACTTGGAGATTGATTGAGGTTGCATCTCTTGCGCGTGGTTGGCGGGGATGGTGTTGTAGAGGAGATCGTCGGTGGAGATGGACCATGGAGGTTCGTGGCTCCGTTTCCCAAAGCGGGAATGTGGAGCCGTAGTGAGCCGGTGAGCCGGGTCTCGTCGGTGCGAGAAGTCCGAGAATACGGCTTCTGCTCGCGATGTCTTCTGACTCTCACTCAATGGCGATCCTTACAATCCTAACAGTCTAAATAGTTGGCAGCTCTCATCTTTTGAGGATTAGAATACGAATGATACGGGAGGCTCAATGGCACGTTTGAATCTCACATCTCAAGGACTCTCTCACTCGACCAGTTTAGGAGACATCACCGGATTCACCATAACGAGCTACTGTATGCCAAATACCCATCGATTTTGATTGACCAAGAACTCCGGACGACGCAATCTCTGCCCTATTGCACAATATCATGTCAATTGTCGGCCAAGCCAAGTCTATGTGCCGTTTCTACCCCACCATTCTCTACGCCCCGTGAAGACCGACTCTTGCCCTTATTTTCTCTTGGCGAACGAAGAAGCAGTTTTCTGAACCTTTGTCGGCGGTGCCGCCTCCGCGTCGCTGTCATCGTCCTCATCCGAATCTTCGACATCATCGTGGTCGACCTCGTCCTCGTCAACAACCTCCTCGCCCGAACTCTCGTCCTCCGCCGCAGCAACCTCCTCCTCGTCATCTTCGTCGTCCGAGTCGCCGACGAAGCCGTTGGCAGCAGGGACCTCGTCGTCATCGTCGTCAATTCCCAGGAGCGCATTCCTTGCGCCGTTCAACACCGCCTCAGCATCCTCCTCGCCCTCGACGTAGATGGCGCCCTCCTCCTCATCGTCGTCCTCGTCATCCGCATCTTCGAGCTGTCTCGCGGCGTCACCCCTACGTGGCCGTCCGTTCCTGAGCTCCATTTGCGCGTGCAGCATGTCCAGCTTGCCCTTGAGGGCGAGCAGGCTCGGCAGACCGCGCGAGCGCTCGCTGAGGACCTTTTGTAGCGCGACTAACCGCTCCAAGGCCTTGGGCTGGACCGCCAACGCGCCGCCGTGTACGATGAGCGTCCACTTGACCCAGTCCATGAGGCTGCCCGCGCGACCGGGCCGTCTGTGGAAGCGGGCAGAGAGCTTGGTGAGGAGGACGCCGGCGAGGCTGCTGTCGAGGCGCTCAATCGTCTGCTTGATGCCTTCGGGCTGGCTGGTCTGCAGGCAGTTCTCGAGGAGGTCTGTGTCGTCGGTCTTGAGCGCCTGGGTGAGGACGGTGCTCAGAGAGGATAGCGACACGGGCTCGAGGCCCTTTCTTGATGACTGCGAAACGAGGGCCTTGCTGCTGGCGTCGTCTTGTTGCGCGAGCATGGCGGGGACATCGATCGTGCCGCGGATCAGCTCGCCAAAGGTGGGCGATCCTGCCTCTTCTTCCTCCTCTGCGCCGCCGGCCTCCGCATCGGCCTTGGTTTGTGTCGTGGTGGTTTCTTCTGTGGCGGTGCCATTCAAGGCTTCCTTTGCGTTGCCGGTCTCGACCTCGGCACCTTCCATTTCCTCGTCTGAAACATCCTCATCGCTCTCCTCGCCGGAAGAAATCTCAATCGCTTCGTTGGCGTTGCTCTTGAGTGCGGCCTGCAGAGAGTCTGTCGCAGAGACGGCGGCTCTGCTCTCGTCAATTGTGGTCTTGGAAGCCTTTGGGGTCGACTTGACGACCGGTGCCGTGAATTTGCCGGAAGATCTCCGCCTTGATGACATGGTGACGGGTTTTGGGGGGAGTATCTCGAGGGAATCGGGTGGTGGAAGAAAAAAAGGTGGGAAAAGTCGTGATCGAGTTCCTCTCCTCCAGCAGCGACAGACCTGCTTGAACTTTTTTTTCTGCCGCCAACCAATTTTTTTTTCTGGCTGGATGTACATGACCGCCCGCGGGGGGTCTCGCTGACATAATGAGGTGAGGTGGGGCTGCCCCCATTGTAGGTTGATGTCGGGTCCCGTCTTGAGATTCTCGGCATTCGGAAAGACCTTTCGCCGCGATACCTCCAAAGCCAGCTGCTTGCTTATGTAAGTGGAGGATCTTTCCTATTCATCGTGGTTGAGGTTGAGGTCGACAGGTGCACCTGCATAAATCACAAACACTAATAGAAGCGATGGGATCACTGTTGATTCTGAAGGACCGTCCGTTTACAGCATCTGGACTCAAATATTTGTCTGCACCTGGGCCATACGCAGTTTGCCTAAACTCGAACACCTAGTAAATCGACGCAAGTTCCAGGTTGAGTCAAGCAAGCGGCGACGCGACAGTGCGCAAGCTAGGATCTGAGGGAAGCTATTCGCAAATGTGTGGAAAGCCTCAGGCTAGAGAAACAGAGTCTGGCCGGACCATCAGAACTTGAGAAGCTCACAAGCAAACAAGAAGGTGATTGGGGGCATGGACGCTGTTGTCCAGCTACCCTCGATCGAGAGCTTTTGCGCCGCAACGAGCGCTGGCTATTGATTGGCTGACATGGTTCTCTGGAAGGCTTGGTCCCGTCTCTCTGTGCTATGCCATATTTGTCTCATCGCTATCCACCATCACTGTATGATTGGTTTATGAGACTGCAGCTATCCCTGTCGTATGCCCTGGCAAGGGTAGTCTGTCGAGCTCCGACTGGGGTCAGCGCGACTTGGCGGGTTCCTACAAATAAGAAGTGGCCCCAAATTCTGAATTTCGCGCTTCTGATGCAGAAAAGTCCTGGAAAGTCCAAAGAAGCCTGACACTGGTCATCTGATCTGTCACGAGACCTCTCAAAGACACAGATACCTCGGTGCGAACAGTGGTGGCTCATAGCTTTCTCTTGTTCGATTGGGACCCATTCCGGTACGTACCGATTTTGTTTCCCGTCGCATCCAACAAAGCCAATTCATTTTCTGCTCTTCTCAACTGCCACCAAACGCGCCCTTACCTCACTACGGATACTCTCACTACTCTGTATCACCAGTTGCATGATCGTATCGCATACACGACGTGTTGAGCTATTCCTCCGGTGTTTGCATCTCCCCCTCCTGTCGTTTTCTTCCTACCGATGCGACGGACGGACCGCGTTGGCTTCATCTGCCACCACTCTACCTACCTTTACCTATGAACCATGATTGTACATTCAGAAATGAGAAACCCTGTTT